GGCAGGAGGGGTTGGCAGGGCGCCGACAGCTGCCTCTGAAACCTGGGAGGAGAGGGATGCAACATTAGCGAGGGGTGGCAGGGTCAGCCCTGCTGGCACACTGCCGGCTCCTGCCCCAGACCGGGACCCCAGGCTGGCTTGGTGCCCTCAGCCTGGGGTGCTGCTGGGTTGGTTCGGGTGGCATTGTGTCCCACCCGCAGTGGGCTGGGACAGTTCCTCAGGAGCACGGCCACCATGAGGATTCGTCCCATGGGGACCTGGCAGGGTGCTGGTGACCCCTGTCCCTCTCCAAGTGCTGGGGACACCCTGCCAGGGGAGCAGGACAGCCCATGGGCCATCATTGCAAAGCACTGCATGATGATGGCAGCCCTGAGCTGCAGCAGGGATATCTGGGAAACAAAAAAAACCCATCCCACAACAGTAAAATCTCTGTAAACCACTAAAATCTGCCCCCAGGGTGGGGGGCAGAGCTCCAAGCCCCAGGGGATTCTGCACCTAGGCACGCGTTTATGCAAAGCTAAATACACTTCACTGCCCTGCAGCCCCAGCTGGCCACTAATCTGCCTGCATGGCTGGGATTAAACCTTGAACTTGGTGGCAGGGAGCACTATTTTCAGCTCTGGGGTGCTGCCACCGCAAGCTCGAGCCCCAGCACAGTCTCTCCTGGCTGTGGTGGATTAGGGACCATCTCGAGGGAGTGCTGCCGCATCCCCTTGCCCTCCAGCACCTTGAAAGGCGATCCCCACACCCGGCTCCTCTCACCAGCCCTGTGCCATTTGGCTTTGTAATCGGAGCTCTCCCAGCTGCCGGGCTGGGATTACTCCATTTCCGAGCTGCGTCCCTCTGCCCTTCCTGAGTGAAACCCAAGCCTCACTCTGGCACAGCGCTTCCCCAGGCATCACAGCCAACCCCCCACATAGCTCAAAGGTTGCCCAGAGCAGAGCCCCGCTTTGCTGGGGAGGGATGATCGCCTGTTGCAGGCGTGTCCCAAGGGTTTCCATGGCCCCGCTGCATGGCCTTTGCTGTGCTGCTATGTCCAGCCCCATGCCCAAAGGGGACACCCCGCTGCTGGTGACACAGCAGCCGTTACACCAGCAAAGGGCATCCAGGAGGGCACAAGCAAAGCCAGAGGTCAACTGTGGCCTCCACCATGCCACCTACCAATAGCACAGGCAAAGCTGAGGTGAGGGAGGGGACCAACAAAGCCTTTGGGGACACGGGGGTGATGGGGGACAAAGCCACAGCTTAAAGAGAAAGTGGGGAGCAGGCTCTCTCCCTCCACAGCCCCAAAATCATGGACATGCCATGCAATCCACGGGGGAGTTGAGGACTGACCCTCAGCCCAGGGGTGCCTGGGGGCAGGATGGGGATGCCTGCAGCTCCCCAGACCAGCAGGGCTCAGCTTGGATGGCAGAAAGCTGCAGCGGGTGAGAGAGAGGAGAGCAAGAGCCCTGACACAGCACCATCACCTGCCACCGCAGGGATGGATGTAGGCAGCAGCTTCTGCCTCCTTCACCTTTCCTGAGGGGGAGGTGAAGGGTTTGCCTGGTGTCCCCGGGGCTGGGAGGAGCAGGTCCCCGTTTGCAAGGAGCTGCCTTGTGGGAAGAAACAGCTGCAAGATCCCAGTGGGAAGCAGCAAGTTTTGCCACACTGGCTTCCACGGGCCTCCAGGCAGCAATGTCTGGCTCACAGTCCACAGCCACAGCAAGGGGATGAGGGGATGGGCATCCCCCTTCCCTGCCCACACTTTGAGTCCACCAACCCATCCCATGAGGACCACAGTCCCCATAAACACCTGCAAGACACCAGCATTCACTTGGG